GGCCCGAAGTGCGCTCGATGGTGGACGTGCTGGCGGACCACGCGGGCGAGCTCGTGCGCACCGACAGCCCCAACTTCCTCTGCTCCGTGCTGCCCTCGCACTGGCGCTGCAACAAGACGCTGCCCGTCGCCTTCAAGGTGAGTGCGCGGCCGGGGCGGGAGGACACCGGCCCTGGGGCTCCGGGCGTCCGAGCTGCAGAAGCCAGGGCCCGGGGAACGGCGGGGAGGGGACGTGCCCGCGACCTCGCCGCGAGAGCCGGGCAGCTGGGCCACGGGCGCTTTCGGTCTCGCTGCGCGCTCCTCCCGGGCGCTTCGGCGTTCCCTCTTGGATGCACCCGGCAGGGATGACTTTTGGGGGGTTTGCTTCCTCCACCTTCGGGGAGCTCTGCGGAGAGACGTTGATGCGGAAACGGGCGGATGGGGCTTCGCTCCCCCGCAGCCTGGATCCCTCGGACGGGGCCCTGCGGGCAGCGGGGAAGAGGAGCCCCGGGACCAGGGCGAGGACCCCGGAGGTGGGGTGCGGAGAGTGGATAGGGCCTACCCTCCGCTGCAGCACCCCTCCTCCTGCACCGCTTCAGAAACACTTCCTGCTCACACCCTCAACCTCTGGCTTCTGAAATTTTACACCGGGCGACTCTAGGCCGGGATCGGGGACATTGATCCCTAAACGGTTGCAGCCGCCTTCGCGAATGTCAGGCAGAGATTGGGGGCGCTTCCACCGCCGGCAGCCCCCGGTCGTTCAGAGGATCTTTTTCTTTTTGCCAGGGAGTAGGCGACTGTTTCATTTTCATTTTTTTTTTAAGGGGGCAGCGAGATGAAACGAAAACGCCTTGGTTTTCCCCTAAACCTCACAGCTGCCGTGAGAAAGGGCCGGGCAGGAAGGGCCAGCAGCGGCTGGGGGTGGAGGTGCCCGAGGTGGCTGGAAACCGCGGCTCCTGGCAGCTGAGGCCGTCCTTGCTCCCATTAAGACGACTCCAAATTGGAAAAAGGATGAGTGGCTCTTTGAGGTCTCCCGGGTGACATCTTAAAATACCAGTGGAGAAAATCTCCCGGGGAGGAGGGGGAGGGAGAGGCCCGTGTGACTTTAATCCTCAGATCGGAGGTTTTACTGTCACTTGGAGCTTAAAAGGAATCTTTGAAATTAAAAGAAGACAGGATGTTGACAGGAAATCTGGCCTTTTTAATCAGACCCCAAACATTTTCTCCTTGAAATTTTTACCATCTGGATCCCTAGTCCGTGCACGCGGTGGCCACGTTTAAATGGCTGTGACTGCGTTTGCAGTCTGATTCCTTTTCAAAAGGCATCTACCTCTCCAGGCTCCTTGGGGTGGAGGGGTGGGGGAGACCATATTGTGGGGGGGCATCTCCACCCCCATCCTGCAATTCCCAGCAGGTGCATCCTCCTGCCATCAAAAGCCCCTCTATCACTTTAAAGAGGTTTTCTGTACAGCCTCTCTCAAAACACCAACTTGTGTTGCATTTTCCCTGCACAACGAATTCAGGCTTTGCAGAGGCCGATAGACTGGGCCTGGGCCACATTTCTGGGCCAAATTTCATACTCCACAGGCTCTTGCATTAATTGAGTGTGGGGAGCAGTCCCGTTATTATTGTTGTTGATATGATTTTTACTTAGAGACATGGTTGCTAGGAGCGTGTTGATTCCTCTTTTGCTCAAGCCAAAGGGAAGAGGGGAACTGCCCCCCACACCATAGTGGCCGGGTTCATTCACAGCTCTTGAGCTTAGATTTAATTTAATTGAAAGGATAATTTCTCAGGACACGGCTTAACCAGTTGTTCTAGGATTTTGGTACGGAAGGTAGAGATTTCGTCGTCTTGATTTTGTTATGTTTGGGGGAAGGTCTCTGGTTTTTAAGCCTCTCTCCACCCAGCATTTGAGAAATCCGCAGTGCGCCTGGGACCTAGGGGAGCTGCCCGGCCCAGCCCCTCCCCGCCTACCCCTCCCCTCCCACTACCTTCCTAAGCTGTCCCCCTGCCCCCGTGCCCTCAGGTGGTGGCTCTGGGGGATGTGCCAGATGGAACGCTGGTGACTGTGATGGCGGGCAATGACGAGAACTACTCCGCTGAACTGCGCAATGCCTCGGCCGTCATGAAGAACCAAGTGGCCAGGTTCAATGACCTCCGCTTCGTGGGCCGCAGCGGGCGAGGTGAGCGGAAGGGAGACCCGCCAGCCCGGCGGCAGCGGCAGAGGTGGGGGGAGGAAGCCCAGAGCAAGGCCTTGGGCTCCCAATGGGGCCCCAGAAACAGGTCTCCAGGCCCAGCTCTGCCTAAAACAGCGGTTTGGAACCCCCTAGGGTGTTACAGACCCCTTGAGGATGTGAGGAAAATTAGGGTCTCGCCACAAAAAACAGCTTTCTCCCAGTGAAGCTTTCCATGGCTCCCTTCTTTCCCAATTAAGCGCTGCAGTCTCATAAGAGATGCTGAGAGAAGATCGTGGATTAACAGACTCAAAAAGGGGCCTTGTAGGTCTTTTTCCACAGGCATGCTTAGAGGCTGGCTTAGACAAATGCTCGGCTCGTCTTTGGGGCCTGAGCACCCCAGCTGCTCTCCTCACTGGGGCAGAATCTCCCCCCCACCCCATTTCGAGGCTGCCTCTCCCCAGCTGTGGTCTCCTAAAGCCACAGTTTCCCCAGATCTTTCAGCCTTCAGGCGGTTTAGAAAAGAAACGAAAGCAGTGCAGGATGCTGAGTGTTGGAAAGCACAACTTGAAGGCTGCCATCTCGCACCCCAGAATCAAGGCTGGTGTGCCGCTCTGCCTGTCTGATCTACCTCAGGCAGTATGAAGGAAGGCAGAACCAGACGCCGCTGTGGCTGCCGCCAGGGGCTGTTGAGTGGGAGGCTGCAGGGACCTGAAACCCATCATCACTTCTGGGTGGAGAAGTCCTAGAAACCCTGCCTGGGCGAAATGGAGAATTGAGCGCTCGCTGGCCCTTTAAGACCAGCTCGCTGAAAAGTGGGGAGTGCCCTTCCCGAACCCCTGGCCTGCCCTTCCATCCAGCTTTGTTAAGAAAGTCAGCTAGGTTCCCTCTGCCCCCAGTCTCCACAGAGGCTGAGACAGAATTGTACTTTTCATCACCAATAAACAAGACCTTCTCAAGGTTTTAGTTCCCTCTGAGCCGCCAGCCCTGCTCAGAAACGGGCATCTGGGCACCATTTTTTCCCCTCCCAACCGTCCAATGTATACATACAAATGTCAAACATATTTTGACTTTTCAGCATTAATTAAAACCAGGGCATTATTTGCATGTAATAACTGTTTACTTGTTACTTTTTATGAAACTGAAATAGTTTACATTCTTTCAAACATTTCCTGTTCCTGTTGGCTCCCTTCCCCACGCACAGATTTCTTTCAAACGTTGCCCTTAACTGGTTGCAGGTTGATGGATGGAAAATGTTTGCTTTTATGAATTAAGCTTTCATTGCTGCTCCTAATTAGTCTCCAAGCCCCTTTTGTCATCCCAATCTCTCAAGCCTTTTGCAACTTAATTCCAGCCCCAGCTGTGAGTGGAGAGTCACTTGCCACTGATCGGGGGTAGATGCGGCTCGACGCTGGGCGGTGGCCGGGTCTGCCGGCCCAGGTGGTGGTGTGGGGGGAAGGCCCACGATAGCTGCAGCCCCTTGTGAGGCAAGCAGAAGGGGAGGTCAGTCCCGGGAGCCCAGCAAGGCATCAGGAACGTGGTACCCTCCTCCCTCTCCTGGGAGGTGAGATACAGAAAGAGAGGAAATGGTGATGCTCTGAGTTACCGAGACCGTGTCTGGCCGTTCTGCGGCTGAAAATGATTTCTTTGTGGCATTTGTGCCCACAGACCTGCGCCCACCCCGCAAGGCCTGTGGGGGGCGGGGGGGGATGAGTTTCCAAAGCATTGTTCAGCAGCATGCTCTTGGCACAGCTGAGGCTGGGATTGTGGCTCTGGGAGATGCAGGAGGCTGAGTTTATAAGCCATTCTTTCACCAGTCTCGGTGGTCCTGGGAGGCAGGAAGAGGCCTGTGGGAGTTCTGAGGCCTGCGGAACTCCGCCAGACTTTCAGACGTCGGAGGCTCATGGTATTGAGCAACCTGGGCTCTACAACGAGCCGACCTGGATTTCAGTCCCGGCTCTGCCAGTGACTTGCTGGATGACATTGGGCAAATGGCTTAACCTCTCTGTGCCTCAGTTTCCTCATCTGTAAAATGGAGATCATAATGGTAGCTACCTCGTGGGATTCTGTGAGGATTAAGGAAATTGGTACAGGTGTATCAGATGGCACATATCGAGAGCTGGATACATGTTAGAGATTTTGTTACTTCAGATGCCTGGGACAGGAGATCTTTGAAGTCCCTTTGAGTGGTGACAGTCACTGATTCTCTTTGATGGTGCGGTTTGGGCGGGGGTGGGGGAAACCCAGGAGGTGTGAACTGTCGAGTGGGAGAAGTGGAGGCGGCTGGCAGTGAGGGGGGTGCGCAAGGGTCCGGTGGCATGCAGCAAGGCGTCTGCTGTGCCCAGCCCGCCATCAGGAAATTCCCTCTGAGAGAACAGATCAGAGATTGACACAGTTTGGGCCACTTTAGGAGGCTGGGGTTTGGGACAGAGCCTTTCCCTGGCTCTCTGATTTCTGCCAGGACTAAGAAGCCAGATGGGAACTTCTGCTTGTTTCTTTGCTTTTTATGCCTTAATTCTGTCCAAATTCCAGGGAGCTAGCTTTCCATGAAAGACATACACACAGCACCAGCCCAGAGCTCTCACGATAAGCCTGAAGGTGTGAACTGAGAAAAGGAAGGGAGGGAAACCGAGTCACTGGTGTCTCCTGCGGTGGTCCCACCCTGCCAGACGCAGCACCCCTTCTTACAACAAAGATTTTGTAACGTGCCCTTTACCCTCCTATCATGAAATGTGTAGATAACGTAACTGCCTCTTACACGCAGTTTCAACATCTATGTAATTTCATAGCTACAGTAGAGGAAAAGAGGGAAAGTAATTCACAATAAAATATCCACTTGAATATGTAAATGTTGGGGGGAGGCTGCGCTTTGAGGTGGACGGATGCTCGTGCCTCTCTCAGCCTCTCTCAGAAGCCCCATGACCGCCACGGCAGTCATGACAGGCCAGGTGTCCATGACTCAGAGTCTGACGAGACACTGCCGTCAATGACAGGATTTTCTGAAGTTGTGAACAATTCTTGGCAAAGTTCTGAACAAAATTAAAAAAACAAAAAAGAAAAAAATGTTTTCCCTCCTGGAAAATTCAATAGATATTAAAGGCATGCAAAACATTTGCCTTGTTTTATGTAAAGTTGAGTTAGGCTCATGGCTCAGAGAATCTTTATAAGCAAATTTTTCACACCCAGGAAGAATGAATACTTCATTACCTGTGCAGTGCTGAGCATTTGCATCCCCCCACCCCTGCATCCCACCTCTTGAGGACCACACACCACAAATCCCCAAAATGCCCTCGAGGAGGCGGCCACTGGCCTAGGTGTAAGCGAAAAGAGCATGAGTTCCTGACCTGTCCTTAACTGGTTAAAAAGAAACCGTAGTATGTGGAGAGAGGTTTGGAATGAGATATGTGGGTGCAGGCTTAGGGGACCACTGGTTGGGGAGGAGATAGATGGCTTCTGGGCTGATGTTGAGAAAACCCAGAGGTCCCCTGAGACATGTCCCCTCCTGCTGTCCATGAAGCCCCTGTGCTTGGGACTTGTCCCACAGGAACCCAAGCTCAGAGAGGGACAGCGACTTGCCCAAGGGACGGGCCCAGCTGTGTGTGCTGATGGTTCCAGGGCCCTGGGTCCTGTGGGCCACTCAGAGCCCCAAGGGGCAGCTACTTCCAGACTAGGACTTCTCCCTCTCCATCTGGGGCCAGCCCTTGGCGTGCCTTGGTCTGCAATTCCTGGACTCCAGGCTGATGGCAGGTTTTCCCAGCGTTCCTGCACAAAGTTGTCCATGTCCTTTGTCTGCTTGGCTTCCTTCTCTAAGAGGGCAAAGGAGATGGATGGGTGGGTTTGCCGCCAGGCAGAGAGAGGCCAGGGACATTCAGGCAGACAGCTTTCCCCCACCCCTGGTTCACGGGGTCCCTCCCTCCTGTGGTACCTGACACCTGCCCCTCCCTCCCACTCCTGCTCCCAGGTCCCACCCCCTCCCTCCCTCCTCTCTGCAGGTACCTGGGAGGGGTGCTGCCAGGCCTGGAAAGTGAGAGGAAGCTGAGGAGGACTGGGACCTCAGGTGTGGCCTGTGGTGTGCTGCCTGGTGGGAGTGGGGGCTTCTCACCCCCCAGGAGTAAGTCCTTAGTGTCTTTGTAGAGGGGCAGGCTCCAAGACGTCCTAATCTCTTTGGGCCCTGCCTGGATACTATGTGACCTGGGCAACCCATTGCCCCTCAGTGAGTCTCAGTTTTCTCATCTGTAGAATGGGAGCAGTAATCTCTGCCCTTAATTCATTTAACAAACATTTATTGAGCACCTACTGCATGCCAGATGCTGTCCTAGGGGCTGGGGACACGGCAATGAACTAGACAAAAATTCTGGCCCCCAGGAAGCTTACGGTCTAGTAGAGGGAGACAAAATGAAATAAATACATAGCAGATGATGAGAAGGAATAGGCATGACGGGGAAATTCCAGCAGGTTGAGTGGGAGCCGGGGGCTCTGTGATGCTTCAGACTCAGCTCCTTCACCTTTTCTGCCCCGTGGTCCCCTTCAGCAGTCAGGTGAAGCCCATATACCTTGGTCAAAGTGATGTTTTTTGAGGAATAAAATAAAATATAAAGGATTACAATAGAAACCAATTATATTAAAACACAGCAAAACATTTTTAAAAATTGTGGTAAAGGTGTTGCTCTGTTAACGTGTTAAATAACACCATCTAGCGATGGGTCTGATGACGACCGTGATTTTGAAGTTGTGACAAGCGCAAAAGATATTTAGAGAAACTTGCACTGTCTGTAACGTGATAGCTGTGTAACGTAAGTGTCTGTGACGTCCGTTGGTGACAAGGGCACAGGGACTGCCCTGATGCCTCTGTGGTTTGTGCCTACGTTCATACTCTAGAGAGATGCTCAATTTCAACTAGCCATTAGGGACAATACAGTTTTTTCTCTGTCCCAGTTCATGGGCCGGCTCAATTCTAAGAGGTGGGCCATAGATGCCAAGTTAAAAATACCTACTTTAGATAAAGTGAGCAGGGAGGGCCTCTCCGAGAAGGTGACTCTTCAGTGGAGACCTGAGGCGGTGAGGTGAGAAACAGTGGCACATCAGGAAGCTAGCCAGGGCTGCTGCTGCGTGGGTGGGGCCCATCCGGCCTGGGTGTTTGGACCCAGTCACTCTGGCTCTGGACTGTCCACCTAAAGTCACCATCCACTTGGCAACCTGCAGCACCAAGGAGGTGGTGGAAGGGTCAGAGCCCAGGGGCCCCCGGAGAGTGCCCGACTGGTTGGGGGTTGGGATCTGGGGAGAAAATGACCTCAAAGTGAGGGAAAGCGGTAGGAGGGGAGGGAGGTCCCCAGGAAGGGGTGGGCAGGGGGCCTGAGGCCACCTGCCTGGCAGTTTCCTAGACCTTCTGCACTTTCTGTTTCCAGAAACCATGGAAAGTGCTCCTGTGGTCTGAGAGGGAGGGGCCAGATTTGTTCCTCTGACCCAGGACTCCAGGGGCAGGTGTGGTTTGCATTTCCATCCCTGCCTCCAGCCAGCTGGCTCCGGAGAATTCTTCCAGAGAGGCCCCCACTCTTTCCCAGTTTGAGTCACACATCAGTATAAACCCCACCCCCACCCCCCACAACCCCCCGTGTCTCAGAAGCCCTTGGGTTCCTTGGTGTGGCCCCAGCAGCTGAGCTGGTTTACTTCTGTTCTGGATTCTCCTGCTTCTGGGGCTAGAGTTTTCGCTTGATCACTGGACCAACAGGGACCCAGCCGGGCAGAGACAACCGTAAGCTCTGGGTCCCCACCCTGAGTTTTCATCTCCGGCCTGTGAAGTGGGGAGACCAAAGCCTGCCTTCCCTGAGGGTTGTTGGGAGTGCAGGGACAGCAGAGGGGTTCACTCAGGCCACCTCACTCGGTGCCCACCCTGGGCCAGCCCTGGGGGACACAGTTGCACCAAGCCATAGGCCCCTCCCCTCAGGGCATCCCCGGGCCTATAACTGGGGTCCAGAGATAGGGGTGCTCAGAGGCAGAGGAGGGGGAGGCCAAGTCTGACTTGGGAGATCAGCGAAGCTCCCCTCACACTCTCCCCAATAGGGTGTGGAGCTTTGATGATAATGAAGGATAGGACAGGAGAGGGGACTCTGACTTCAGTGACAGTGCTGGGAGAATTGGGTTGCCCTTCGAGGAACAATCCTTATGTTCTACCGTCCCAACCAGTAAACCCAGGAGAACCAAAGAATTAAATGCAAAAAGTAGAGAGAATACTGTTTATCAAAGGTAACTTTTATCTGCTTGTTACTTGGGGAAATCTGCCTAAACGTAAAAACGATGGGAGAAATCCCGGACGGGAGCTAGAACTGAAAATGCAAAACAGCTCAGTGTGAGAAAGTGAAATGTGAGGGCCAGTGAACTGGGAAACTGATTGCCACCAATAGGACGTGGAAGGTGTTGACAAGCTTAGTGCAGAGCGATAGTTTAAAGGCACTAAACCTTCATAGCAAAGGATAAAAGAACATGAAGCAATGATTTGTGTGGATTAGGACAGACAGTAAACCTGGAAAGTGGTTCACTCTCACTAGTAACAGAAGAAAGCCAGATGAAGTCAGGAGCGAGTAAGAGGTCGTCCACCTCGATAGACGCGGTCACAGTGCTGATGGCACAGCAGTGGGTGGGACGGTGGGACGTGGCCTCACCCCAGTCCCCAATCATGGTGACTATCTCTGGAGAGTCATCTCAGGAGCGAGATCAACGCCCCTAAATACGTCCCAACCCTCTGATGCAATGAAGTCACCCGCCACTTCTTGGAATCTATTCTGAGGAAATAAGCAGAGATGTGGACAAAGATTTTTATGAACAAAAGGTCATTTTCATTTTATTTTGAATGGTAAAAAAAAAAAATATATTATTTTAAAAGTTTTTTCCCCTCTCAGGAATTTTGAATGGAGACTTTGGAGCCAAATGTCTATCTAAAAATAGAACAGAGTTCTGGAAATAACAATTGTGTCTACGAATGAAATGTCTGCAGCTCCCAGATCAGTCCTTTTTGGCCCCTGCCGCATGCACCAATAAGAAATCAGCAGCGACGTAAATGCCCAAGTGTAAGGAGGTGGATAAATAAAAGATGAGGCTTCCGTGAGCTGAAATATTTTGTAGCCATTAAAAATGAAGTTTAGGAAGAATTTTTAATGACATAGGAAAGTGCTTATGATGTAATGTTAAATAAAAAAAAAAACAGGGTGCAAAAATATATTTTAGTATCACTTTAACTATGTAAATACACAAACCCACACAAAAAGGATTGGAGGAGAAAATGTTAACAGTGTTTGTCTCTGGCCAGTGGAACTACGGGTGATTTTTTTTTTTCTTCTTTTTTATATTTTCTGTGTTCTCAAAATTTTCTATAAAGATCACTAGTTACTTTCAGGAAGAAAAAAATATAGGGACCCATCTTGGCTCCCCATCCCAAAATCGTGAGGGTCTCTGGATAGAAGGAGCATCACAAAGGCCAAGAAGCAGGGAGGAAATAAGCCGGGTTGGCCAGAGTGTGGGGAGGGGGAAGGTGCGAGAGCTGCCAGGGCCTCGAATGCCAACCCCAGCAGCTTGAACTTCACCCAGAGCTCCATCGTCTGCCCAGGGTCAAAGGAGAGAGACCTGCCCCTTCGGGAAGGTTAGGGGCTTCCAGGGTGGCACACGGGTGGGAGACCAGGGTTTGTGAGTAGCTCCAGGTGCCAACCTCCTGCCTCTGTTCCCCACTCCCCCCAGGGAAGAGTTTCACACTGACCATCACCGTGTTCACCAACCCCACCCAAGTGGCCACCTACCACCGAGCCATCAAGGTGACCGTGGATGGACCCCGGGAGCCCAGACGTAAGTGCCAGAGCCGCGGAGCCTCCTGGGCGAGGGAGGAGGGTCCCGCCAGGGAAGGGCAGCTGCTGAAGTCAGACAGATGGCACTGGGTCCCGGGAGCCCTCCTGTGGGGGATTGTAGTCTCTGCTCTACGTCCCTGCACACTGTGTGCCTGCCAGCAAAGCCCTGAACCCTCTGTGCTTAGCCCAGACTTGGGGGGGCCAGCAAGGAGGCTGGGAGGGGGAGACAGCAGTCAGCCTGACCCCCTCCAGGTTGGATGACTGCCCTCTGGGGGCCAGCTGGGGGAGTGTGGATTTGCATCTGTTAAGGAAAGGAAAAGGGCGGGAAAGCCTTCAGATAGGGTGTTGGTGGGTGTGTGGCTGGGTGTGGGTGTGTTTGGGGTGGAGGTTGGGCCAGATTTGCTCTGCTCCACCCCAGCTTCCTCTGCCAGTGGCTGAGGGAGGGAACCATCAAAAGCAGGAGCTGGTCTGGCCGTGAGGCCACATCCCCTCCTTGGAAACTCTTCCTTTGAGTCTCAGCGTGTGACTTACTCAGGTCTCACAGAGCGCAGGCGCTCTGACCCTGGGACCCACACTCCCGAGATCAGGAATGCACATTTGATTCTGCAGATATTGATTGAGCACCTACTATGTGCAGGGATCCCCGGTCCATGCATTTTAACTTCAAAGAGAGTTTGTGTTCAATTGCTTTTGCCTGCTGGAGGCCCTGGAGTTTGCAGATTCAGACTGGGGAAACTGGAGGGGAAGCTGCCATAGGGTGGGCCAGAGGCCTGTGTTCACTGAGTGAGTGAGTGAGGGAGTGAATGAAACAAAGGACCGGCTGGCTGTCTCTGGGCTGGCTGCTCCCTGAGCTCTCACCAGAGCTCCTGTCTGGACTGCCCCCACTGCAGCATGCCCCACCTGGTGGATCGAGAGCTGCCCCATCCTCCTTTTTCTTTGTAATCTTGCCCCTTTGCAGTTTAGAAAACTCTCTCACGTTTGTTGTCTCCTGGGATCCTCATGACAGCAGGGCCAAAGGGTCATCCAGTTCCAGCAAGGAGACAGTCCAGGCCTGGGGACGATGAGAACCTGGCCACCAGGGCCTCACCACAGTGAGGTGGGGAGGCGCAAGGTCTTCAGAGACAGCCTGAGTGGGTCTGATCCCAGCTGAGTGGGCCCGAGGCAGGAAGACAGGCTCCTGGTCTCCGCTCAGTGCCCTGGAGGCTCAGAACGGGAGTGCGGCTGTGCCAGGGCGTTGTCAGTGATGGCCACCCAGGCCTGGCCCTGGGCCGGCCTCTCCCTTCTTAGGACTCAGGCAGGCCTGGCTCCCCATCTGTCTAAGTCCTGGGCCTACTCCAGCATCCGGCCACCTGGGAAAGGCTCAGAGCTGGCCCTGGCGGCACTAGGAGAGTTTCCCTCCAGGCCTTTCAAGGCCGCTGCCTCTGGCCTCCACTGAGCTCCTGCACGTGGTCATCAGGCCCACAGGCATCCGCTCCCAGCCAGTACCTGCTCTGGCCCAGTTCCTATTGGGATTGGACGTGGACGGGTCTGTGCCCCTGGCCTTGAGCATTGTGGCCCTGCGCAAGTCACGTCTCCTTTTTGGCCTCGGTTTTGTCATCTGTGAACTGGGTCAGTGACCCCAGGAGTCTCGAGGTGGTGGTGGCTGGGACGCCCTTGTGAGCCATAGGCCATCATGGTGCAGAGAGCAGATTCTGAGCCAGCTTCCCTGGCTGGGGGACTTTGGGCAAGTCGCTGACCTCTCTGGGCCTTAGCTCCCTCCTCCAGGAAGTGGGATGATACCACCCACCCCGCAGGCCTGTGGATAGCATCTGGCTTTAGCAGAGGGAGGGTCCTTGTGAGTCAGGGGATCCGTGGTGTTATGTTATCCCTGGTACCTGGCCACCCCCAGCACTCCCACCACCACCATTAGTCAATGGGGAACCTGTCTTGGTTAGCAGCAGGCTGGCTGCAGAGAAGCCCAGGCCCTGGGAATAGAGGTACAAAGTCTCCACGGAAGGAGGTGATGTTCTGCTGTCAGTAACCAGGAGCAGAATCGGAGTGGACGAGCTGCAGTTGGGCTAATGCGATGCTGCAGCTCTGAGGAGCCACTCCACAAAGCAGGGAGCACCCGTGTGCAGAGGCGTGTGAGCCGGGGGTGGGGGAGCTCTGCGGGAAGGTTCCCAGGGGCCGGGCCATGCCTGGAATCCCTCAGAGCCCCCATGATGAGCCCCACCCAGCCCAGAGCTGCCCACCTCCCCCACTGAGGCCCTTGGAGGAGGGTGGAGGCTCGGGCCTGTCCTTGGGAGCCCCCAGTCAAATCCCTTGCCTTCTCTTCTCTCCTGGGGTCCCCCAGACCTAGATAACCCCTTCCTGGGGTGAGCTGGCGGGGGAAGGGGTGGCACAGGACGAGGCAGCTGAGGCCAGAGGGAAAGAAGCTGGGCCAGGAGACAGGCCGGAGTCGGAGGCCGGGCTTGCTGTGTGCCCTGAGGCAGAGGGCATCCCTTTCTAGGCCTCAGCGGTGGCGAGATCAGTGGTTTTAAAGTGCCTTGTTCAAATAAAATCTTAACAGAAGCTCATTAATAGGAAAGAGCAAACGTGGGCGGGGCCCGTTCTCCAGGGCTCCCATGCTGGGGACCTGTTGCTTCTGCCCTCCCGTGCCCGCCACCCCACCCCGGCCCCCAGGTCAGGTCTCACCAGCACCCTGGTTCCAGCCCCAACCTGACGTTCAGTCTGTGACCTTGGACAACTACTTCCCCTTTCTGGGCCTCTGTTTCCCCACGTGTAAGGAGTGAGAGGCCAGCTCAACCGCTGCTGGTCACCGAGGGGTCCCTGTGTGCCAGACCCCGGGCAAAGTCTCTGTTAATTGATCCTCAGCAACCCCAGGAGGGGCCGGGCCAGGAGAGCCACTTGCCCAAGGCTGGGCTTCAGTGCACCCCAGGGGCTCCAGCCCGGGGCTCAGGGAAGCGAAGGCCACTTGAAAGGGCCTTCCCATCTCAGTGTGCTCATCTGTAGAATGGGGATGGTATTAGCATCTGCTCTGGGGAGTTGTTGTGAGCTGCCCACAGGGAGTGCCCTGCAGCCCCTGTGGATTATCACAGGATTTCCTTTCTGGGCTTTTCTCCTGCTTCGTGACCCCTGACCCCATGTGAGGGCTGAGCCTTCTGTGGGGTGAGGTGGAATAGGTGCCAGTCCTGGGAGCCAAGGAGTGGGAGTCTGCAGATCCCTGAGGCTGGGTTGTGGGTTCTGTGGCCTGGTCGTTCCCCTCTGGTGCCCTGCGGAGCGTGCCCCATCTGCAGCCAGGTGGCCGGCTGGGTTTGAAGGCTGGCTTGGTGGCTTCCTGCCTGTGTGGCCTCGGTTTCTGAGGTTCTCAATGCTGGTGTCCCACACAGTCACTGGGGGCTGGTTCAAAAGCAGGCGGCTGAGCGGGATCCAGGATACGGGCAGGAGGCCGTGCAGGGCCTGGGGGTTCTGGCGTGGACCACGGTGTGGGAACCACTCACCCGTCTTCCAGGCTTAGCAGGTGCTGTACCTGAAAGGGGAAGTAGGACCAGGTTCTTAATCCTGCCAGAGGCAGAGGGGGTGTTTGCAGCATCTTGCCTGGGGGCCCTTTTTCCCCCAAAATGTGCATGGAATGGTTTCAACACATATTTTCCTGGGCACCTACCACGTGTCAGGCACTGTTCTAGGAGCTGGGGACACTGCGGTGAACCCAGCAGACGGGCTCCAGCCCTCTCGGGTCTCACATTCTGGGAGTGGGGTGAGAAGGTAAACAGTTCTGTTGTCACCATGCCCACAAGGCGCCACCTGATCTGTATCGGTAACCCCCCCCTTCCTCTCTGACACACCCCTCCTCCCTCACGCTACTCAGGCCTGTCTTTGAACTTGGCGGCCACACCCCTGCCTCAGGGCCTTTGCACTGCTCTTCCCTCTCCCTGGAACACCCAGACACCCCCAGACATGTGGCTCACTCCTTCTCACCTCGGGTCTTCATTAGACTTTTCAGTGAGCCGTTCCCTGACCACCCTGACCACCGTGTCTCAGTCACACACACAGCCTTCCTCCACCCCCTTACCCTTCCGGACTTTAATTCACCACGAGTGCTCGTCACTTCTGAGATGCTCTATAGCTCGCTCACTTATTTCATTTTTCTCCATCTCCCCCACTACTGTGTATGCTCCACAGGGCAGAGGTTCTTCCCTCAGCTTTGCCAAGCATGGTGTAGACCCCGGAACACACAGGTGTAGACCACAGCACACAGATGTGAGCACACAGTAGATGCCCAGTAAATATTTGTTGAATAAACAAAGTAAACAAGTGATTAGCTAATGTCTCTTCAGGTCGTGAGAGGTCCTGTGAGGAGAAACAAAGCTGGAGGAGGGGCCAGAGTGTGGGGAAGGGGACACGGCAGGGGACAGGGACAGGGAGGCTCCTAAAGAGGTGACATTTGAGCAGAGGCCTGAAGGACATGGGGGCTAGGGGCTCAGAGGGCACGGGCAGGAAAAGGGGCCCTAAGCTGCTGCCAGGCCTTGGAGGGTCCTACAGTTGGGAGGCAGGGGGATGCCGGGGTTCAGGAGGGGCAGCGGCTCCTGGCACCCGCCGGCTCCCGGGCCCCCACGATCCCCCAGGAGTGTGCCCAGCGGGAGGGAAGGGGTTAACCTCAGACCTCTGGGTTCCCCTAATCAACCCCAGGCCGCTGGAAGCCCCAGTCGCCTCCCTGCCCGCTGGCCCCCCGCCAGCCCCATTCCCTGCCCAGCCACCGCCCCACTTTCATCTGCTCACAGGGGGCCGATTCACGGCAGACCACCCTGGGCCCAGCACCCGCCTGCCGTTCCGCGAGGTTGTTAAGAGTCGGGTGTAAATCTCCTGACAGGCCGCAGAGCGGGCCTTGGGCCCGGGTGCCCCACCCCGCGGCTGGGCAGACAGTGGCTGCTGTGTCTGGGTTGTGGCCACACCAGGGCCGGGCCAGGCAGCCAAGGAGGCGGCCGAGTGGCTTCAGATGGGTGAAGGGCCCCATAATTGGGG